TTTTTTTTTGAGAAGTTTTTGCTATAGGGCGCGTGTGCTCACCAGAAAGAGAGAGAGAGGCAGAGAGACAGAAAGCGAGAAATCACCCCCCAAGGGGGATGGCCATGCCACAATCCCTTCCATTCTCCTCTTGGAACCTTGGGCATGCACACACATGCACCCGCCGTGAGTTTAAGCCACTGGGTTCGGGACTCGAACCGCGGTCGACTACATGGGAGTCCAGCAACATAGCCATTACGCTAACTGCTGGTCCCCTGTTTGCTTTTTCTAGAATGCTGATCTTCCAGATATTTGGATTTTGTGCTCTGATCTTTTAATTTCTTTACTTTTTCTCTCCTCATTGCTATGTCTTTTCATTTATTGCCTGGGGCATTTTCTTGACTTACTCTTCATCCCTTCTATTATACTTTCTTTTCTGCTATCCAGAGCTTGTTCTTGATCTCTGGGCTTTCCTTTTTTATAGTCTCCTGTTCTTGTTTCATGGAAACAATATTATCTTGTAAGTCTCCAAGGATATCAATTAGAGATGGTCTCTCTCTCTTTCTCTCTCTCTTTTTTAATTTTCTTCTGCTTCCTGCCTAGGCTTGGTTTCCTTCGAGTTGCTGTCCCCCTTTCGTTTTGCTCTGGTCTGGTCTCATCCTCTAGGCGTTCCTCGGTGCCTGATGATCTCATTTCTGTTGCTCTCCTTTCTGTATTTGTCTCAGGCTGCCATGTTCATAACCTGGCTTGATTTGCCATCCGGATTCCCAATTTGCCACCTCTCTCCTGAACGTCAGTCTCTCTGTCCGAGGCTTCTGTTCATTCATTTGTTCAGCATTTACTTACGAGGTGAACACTAGGGCTGACACAGTTAGCGAGGCACACTGCACTGATAAAGTAGCCTGCGTTTATGGCGGGCCTCCTACGTGCCCTGCTGAGACTGTATTAGCTTATTATTGATTTGACAGACCTCAGAATCGCCAGGTACTCCCAAGCCTGTTCTTTCCCCTCCGCACTCAGCAGTCCTCTTGGCACGAGGGCACAGTTTATTTAACAGGTGCTTGGCGGCACTTCCTAGATGATGGGCCGATTTACTTCACACTGCTTTATCCTCACCATCATCTTATGAAGCAGGAACTGTTACTAACCCTGTTTTACAGACGAGAAAATTGGGCACAGAGACGTTAGGTAACTTGTCTGAAGTTGCACAGCTATTCAGGGCTGGAGCTGGCATTTGAACCTAGGCCGTATGACTCCAAAGCCCGCCTTGTTCACATCCTCGCGGAGAAACAAGGCAGCACACAAAAGAACCAGGCAGCATTGATCGTGCTAAATGCCGTGAGGGGACTAAGGCAGAATGGGGTCGGCTGTGGCTGGGGGGCGGTGGGGGACAGTGCATGTGTGATCTCCCTCCACGTGTCACCCAACTCCAGCGTACTCTCTGCATTCCTGTGGGACTGATGGGTTGGGGGTGGCCCATGGGAGTCTCGGGGTACCTGTCCTTGGGGAATCTGGACATCTGAGTTCAGGTCCCTGGGGACTGTGGCTGAGGCTCCGACTCTCGACAGTGGAATCAGGCGAAGACTACGTGAACGTTCCCGAGAGCGAGGAGAGCGCAGAAGCGTCTCTGGGTGCGTGCCTCCTCCCGGCCCCACCCTGGGGGCTGCCTGCACCTGCTTTCCCTCTCCCCCTCAGAGCGGCGGGTCCCCTTTGTGTAGCTGTCCCTCCTCTGACCTGTCTCTGCAGATGGGAGCCGGGAGTACGTGAATGTGTCCGAGGAGCTGCAGCCTGCGGTCAGGACTGAGCCTGGTGTGTGCCGGGGGAGCTGGGCCAGAGCTGGAGAGCTGCCTTGGGGGGCTGGCTCGCGGCCAGAGGCCAACCATCTCTCCCCTCACAGCCACCCCAAGTTCCCAGGACGTGGAAGACAGGGAGGAGGAAGAAGAGGGAGCTCCAGATTATGAGAATCTGCAAGAGCTTAACTGAGGGCCTGGTAAGAGGCCTCCCGAGCCCAGCCCCGCCTGCTCCTGCAGGTCTTAGCCCTCCCTCAAGGACCCCCTCCCAGCCTCTCCCCATCACCTCAGGCCACACACTGCCCCCAGCCGACCTCCTGACCCAGTAACATCCACTCGCCCTGCTCTGTTTCAGCATGAGGTGAGGCCCTGTCTGTCCTGGAACCAGCCTTGCCTGGAAGTGGCTCTGGGGGCCCCACTTGGCACCCGCCCTGCTTCCAGCCTGACAACAACCCAAGGATTCCCCCCTAATTTATTGTCACTTTGGGGTCCGGTCTGTGTCCCCCCAACACTGCACCTTCTGATGCAGCCTGAGAACAAACTGCCTCATTCTACTAGAATAAAGGCCCGTGTGGTCAGCGTGCTCTCAGCCTTGAGAGACCCAGTGGTCAGCGTCAGGGTGAGGTGGGACTGGGCCAGAGGGCCTGTGTGTGCCTGTGTTGAGTGTGTGTGTGTGAGCAGAGAACATCTGGATATACCTGTGTGTGAGTCTGCACAGAGAACATCTGGATATCTGTGTGTGTGTGGTGTGTCCGTCCTCTGCAGGGGCTCTGGCCCCCAAGGCCCCTGGCCAGGTGCTGTGATGGGTAGGACACTCACCTGCTGGTGAGGCCTCTGACCCGGCTGGCACTCTGGGGGCTCACAGGCATCTTCCCGTGAGAGGGGGGAGCCCTGGGCAGAGTGCGGGCACTACAGTAAGACCCTTCCCCACTGCCCTGGGGTTTCTCCATCCTGAAATCAAAGGGCCGGCCCTGATGACCTGGAAGGACTCTCCTTACCTTTTGTGGTTCTCAATAAACTAAAAAGTTGTGAGCGAGTGTACGGTGCAGCGCTTTCAAACTTCCGCGTGGGACAGTTCACTTCAGGCCTTGCCTCGGAGTGGTTCTGACTCGGTAGGTCTCGGGGGGGCCTGAGACTTGGCATTTCTGAGGCACCACCGTGATCCTGGCCCTCCTGTCCCAGAAACCCCACCCGTAGCCAGAGAGGGTGGGTACCTACTGCTCTCCCTGGCCGGGGATTGCGCTGTCTTCCTCAGAACCCACTCCTCTCCTCGTCTCGGTCCATATGGTTCTCCACTCTGGAGGCAATCGGCCTCCAGTCCTGAACCATGGCCCCCTTTGCCCAGCTGCCACGATGGGCTCAGGGGTGGGCACGTGACCCAAGCTGGGCCATTCAGGAGCAGCCCTGGATTTGGGCAGAGGTGTTGGGGAGGCGAGGCTTTGTTCACAGCAGTTCACCTGGAAGGACGTGGCCCTGGAGCCACCACTTCCAGAGCCTGCCTAGGATGGAGCCCACATGGAGAAGAGAGTGGCCCAGAGACTGATGGGCCAGCTCGCCGATGGTGTCATTAGAACTCCCGGATCCGTGGCACCTGAAGTGAGACTCCAGTTCCCCAGTTACATGTACCAATAAATTCACTGTTTCTCCAACCAGCTTGACTTAGGGTTTCTGTCTTCCTGATGGAAGTAGTTCTGATGGGTACCAAAGCTATTGGCAGTTTTCTGTGGACTCTGATGAAAATACCGGTGTCTCCCATGCCTAGAATGTTCCCATGTTCACCCGATCTCATCGTCACGACTCACCTATTACCAGTTACCGTTACCGTTAGAGTTCCTGTTTTACAGGTGAGGAAACAGGCCCAGAGAGGTGCAGAGACTTGCCCAAACACACCCAGCTGAAGAGGTAAATCTGCCGTTAGATTTGTGACTATGGCCCTCCAGGGTCATGGGCTCTCTGACCGCGGGCCTCATTCTATGGCACAAGAGGTCAGGCTGCCTAGAATGTAGAAGTACATGAGGCCCAGCTGGAAAAGAGGGACACGGGAGGGCCTGGGAAGGGGATTAGGCAGCTGGATCAACAGTGGAGTTCAGTCCTTTACCTCGGGGGAATAGAAATGAGCAGGGGCATCTGTGTGTCCAGGCTGAGGGACAGAGGGCAGTGAGCCAGCCAGACGTGTTTGTTCAACCTCCTTGGAGGACAGTCTAGAAACATCCAGTGTAAGGGGATGTCAAAGAATTGGTGGGAAAATGGAATTTAGAAATGAGTCTATATCAGTACAAAACGTTTTTTTAATTCATAGTTTTTTCATTACACTAACTTTTCATGAGCTTTTTTTTTTTTTTAAATTTAAAAAATTTGGGAGCCAACAGGTGGCATGCTGGTTAAGGGCACTGGACTCCCACATGGCTGACCGCTGGCTCAAGTCCTAGACCTGGTGGCTTGCTTTCCTAATTTTTCTTTCTCTCTCCCTCTCTCTCTCACTTGTCCCTCTCTGGTCAAATTAAAAAATAAATAAATAGAGACTGGCAGGTGGCATGGTGGTTAGGGGCGCTGGACTCCCACATGGCCAGCTGCTGTTTAAGTCCTGGACTTCGTGGCTTGCTTTCTCATGTCCTCTCTCTCTCTCACTTTCTCTCTCTCTGGTCAAATTAAAGCAAACAAATGGATAAATAAAGTTAAATAAAATAACTCTTGAAAAGATAAAGTTAAATAAATTAACTCTTTAAAAAAATTTTTTGGGGTGAAGGATATGTGTGCTCACTGGAGACAGTGAGAGAGAGAGAGAAAGTGATAAATCACCCCTGGTGGAGGGGCTGCCACAATTCCTTCTCCATCTCTTCTTGGGAGTTTGTTGCACACACATGTGCCCAGTGTGGTTTTCAAACTGCCGGGTCTAGGACTTAAAATGCACAGTCGACCTTGTGGGGTCCAGCCATGTGCTGGCTCTCCATGAGCTTTATGAAGACCTCTCACAGAGCTGAAAATGTGTGTATCCGTTCAGCTAGCAAATGCCCTGACCCTGAGTCCCTGAAGCACTTGGGCTGAGGAGACAGCTACGTGCTGGTTTGGGGCTGGGGAGGGGGCAGCGTGGTAATGGCCATGGCTGGAGACAACCGCGGCAGCGCAGTCCGGGGATGGACACCCTCCAGCAGAGACAGCGAGTGCACCAGAGCAAGGCCTGTCCACACGGGTGGATGGCACCGCCTTCATGCGACAGCGAACGAGTCACGGACACTCCCGTGGAAAGGCGCTGTCTGCTGTTCGGGGACACACGAATACGTGGAGGTATGGCGACAGGCGTAGATGAGGGGTACCAAATTCAGGACGGCAGTAACCTTGTGGGACTAGGAGGAGGTGAGGGAGGCCTCAGTGAAGGGTGCAATGTCCTTATTCCCAAGCAGGGGCTGGGGGGGGCATCTGCACAGGTGTTTACACAGACGCGTTGCCCTTTAAGTGAGGAGCTGAATGATTTCATAACAACTAAGAGATCAAGGCCCAAGGAGGGAGTGGAGAGGACTGGGAGGGTGGATTGGCGGCTTTAGGAGACAGCGAGCAGTAGGGAAACTGACTTGGTTGGTTTGTGCCAAAGCGGACGAGTTGCATATGGCGCTCCAGGCCTTCGGAATGGCACGCGCAAAGGCCCCGAGGTGTGTTTGAGGAACTGAAAGGAAATCCACGTGGTGGGATCGGAGAGGGTGCAGAGCGACGTGAGCAGGCGGTGGGGGCTGAGCAGGCATAAGAACTGTCCTGAGCTTCCTGGCCACCGTTGGAGGCTCTGGGGCAGAGGATGGCGGGCGGACTTGTGCTGTAGCCCGTATGTCCAGTGTGCTGTTTGTGCAGGATGGATGGTGAGAGTGGTGAGCCCAGGAGGAGGCCGTTGGAGCAATCCGTGGAATGGTGGTCGTAGTGAAGACGGGGCAGGTGATGGACAGAGGTGGAAGACTCAGGAGGGGCGGAAGTAGCAGCACCCAGGGACACAGCGATGGGCTGGCGTGGGCTTGAGGCATGGACGGTCCACAGGGACTCTGGCCCTGCCTCGGTGGTGATGCCCCCAGGGGGCGTTCCCTGAGGTACTTAGCAGCTGCCCACATGTGTGTCCTGGACCAAGCAAGGGGAACAGGTGGGACAGACAGAGGGTCTCTGCGGTGAGGCCTGTGGGGCTAGGGCTAGGGTTTCTAAGCACGTGGGGTGGTCGGTGTGGGGACTCCCTATAGATGGGAACTAGAAGACAGAAATAGATTTTTAAAAAATTCTCTGTGTGGGATAAAAGGTAGTGACAAGTAAGATGGAGTGTTTTTTGGAGTTTCTAGGGGAGCTATCTGGATGCTTCTGGAAGTTGAGAGATTATAGCTCTGTTGATTTGGGCTCTCCTGAGAACAGACTTTGAGGCTAGGTCCTACTGCAAGTTGTTTATTTTAAAAATGAAAGACTTTTTTTTTTTAATTTGTGAAAATGTTGGTATAGAGCATGTGTACTTGCCAGAGAGAGCTGGTGTGTGTGTGTGTGTGTGTGTGTGTGTGTGTGTAAAAGCATCCCTTGGGGGTAGCCACACCACATTCCCCTCTCCGTTATCCTCTCTGGATTTTGGGCACACATATCCATGTGCCTGATGTGTTTTTCAAACTGCTGGGCCTGGGACTCAAACCACACAGTTGGCCACGTGGGATCCAGCCATCTCGACCACCACGCCACCGGCTGGCCCACCAGTCATTTATTTGGGGGTGGTCCCAGGAAACGCTAGTAGGGGAGTGGGGAAGGGAAGCCCACAGGACTGGGCAGTGGTGCAGTGGTGAAATGAGAAGCTCCGTGTGGTGGCCCACATGGGAAGGTGCCGAGTTCGCGACCGGAAACGTTAAGTACGCCACATGTGTCTGTGATCGGGCGGCTGAGGCTGGGGTGGATCGCAGCACCAGGATCCTGCTGGAGTGCTGTCTCTGTCTCTCTCTCATGGAGGCGCAGTCTGTCTCCCTCCTGGAATCATTAAACTCTGAGACAAAATAAAACAATGAGAAGAAGAGAAGGCAGCCCACAAAGAGCGTACCTGGGAGCCAGCGTGGAGCCCCTGTGAGGGTTCTCCTGCCCCCAGGAGGGAGCTGGGATCCCGAACTATCTCCGCCAGGAGCAGAGGGAAGCAGTGGCTGGCAGTGGAGGCAGAAGGGCCAATGGAAAAGAAAGGCATTGGCGGCAGCTGCTGCGAGGGGACTTCGACAAGTTCGTCGAAATGGAGTTAAAGTACAAGTTTGTTTTAGTGCAAGAAACTTTTGAAATCTATGCATAATTTTTTCATAATAGGCATTTCCATGAAGTTTTGGAAGACCCCCATTTGTGCGACGGTTTGGGCTTTTTGCAGTGTTTAGGTCAGTTTTTCTCAAAATGCATCAGGCGGTCCATTAGTTCTGTGAAATGCTTCTCAAGAAAGGACTCTGTGGTCAGACAACTGTGGGGCAAGTGGCGTTCTCTAATACTCCCTCGTAGAGTAGAAATGCATGGGCCAGACCATGGCTTAGCAGTAGCACAACTGAACCTACATGGGAAGGTCCCTGGTTTGGGTCCTGGGGGCCTCCTCTGTACATGATCCAGGCTGTCTGAGGATGGATCACAGCAAGGGGGGCCCTTGTTGGGTGCCCTTTTTCATGGAGAAAGTGATAAATACACTTTTTTTTTTTTTGAGAGGTTTTTGCTATAGGGTGCATAAGCTCGCCAGAAAGACAGAGAGACAGAAAGCGAGAAATCATTCTCCAAAGGGTGATGGCCATGCTGCAATCCCTTCTCTTCCATTCTCCTCTTGGGATCTTGGGCACGCACGCACACATGCCCAGTGTGAGTCTAAGCCATTGGGTCTGGGACTTGAACTGCGGTCGACTATGTGGGAGTCCAGTGACATAGTCATTATGCCAACTGCTGGTCCCAGAAAAATACACTTTTTAAAATGCACATCTATAAGGTAACAACTCTGAGAAATCCTGCAATGAATAGCTTTCTCTTCACTTAATGTGGTATTTTCCAAATATCTTTGACTCCAGGATAATTATTTTTTTAAAAAAATTATTTATTTATTATTATTATTTTAATTTTTGCTATAGAGCATGTGTGCTCATTAGGGAGACAGACAGACAGAGAAAGGGAAAGTGAGAAAGCAAGTCACCAGGTTCAGGACTCGAACCATGGTCAGCCATGTGAGAGTCTAGCATCTTAACCACCATGCCACCTGTTGGTCCCAACTTCAGAATCTTTTCAAAAATATTAGTAGCATTTTGCAGAGCACCATTTGAGGATATTTTTTGTTTCTGCTTCTCAGTGTCTGATCCTCCTTCTTCCAGTACTGCCATCTGGGTTTACTTTTGGAAATGTTGCTGTGGCCCTGGGGGGGACCCAGACTGGCCAATCATCAGATCACACTCCTTGGCCTCAGTAATTGGCTGAGAGAGGGGCACATGACCCAGTTCAGGCCAATGAGACATTTCTGAGACTTTGGGTGAAACAAATAGGAAAGAGAAGCCGCTTATCCTCTGGGATTGCCAGGAGGTAAGAAAGACAGGCTTGCACCTGGAGAGCCTGCCTGGGAGCGAGGGCCCCATGGAGGTCAGCAGAGTCGACAGGGATAGAAATGGGAAAACCGTGTCCTGTGGCAGGTCTCAGGCCCCGATCC